ATGCTGCTGACCCTTGCGTTTCGCCCTTCTCTTCTCGGACGTGCCTCTGTGGAGGCAGGCTACCCCAGCGTCCAGCATCTTTCCCTCCCCTCCTCTTCCCCTCCTCATCATTCTTGCTCCCTCCTCCTCGTCGTCCCCAGCAGAGGTTCGGCGGCGAGAGAGGAGGGAAATGAGAAGGAGGAGGTCTTTTCAGAAGGCGGCGGGACTTTTCAGATGCCCCAAGCCTTCTGAGAAATTTTCTGTGTCTTCGGGGAAGGCTTAGACAACTTGTCAGAATGCCGGGGGGCTCCCGCCGCCTTTGAGAAGGCCTGCACCTTCTCACTTCCCCCCGGGCTCGCCGCCGAGAGGTTCCTTTTTGGTCCTCCTCCTCCTCCTCCTCCTCCTCCTCCTTCCGAGAATGGTGTTTTGGCACGCTTCTCGATCTTTCAACGGTTGTCTCCCGATGGGGCATTTTCGTCAGTGGAAATGAATCCTTGTAGGGCCTGTGAAGAGGGAGCTTGGGGGGGAGTCTTGCAACATTGTTGGCGAGTCTGGGTTTTGCACTGGTCCTCTTCTCCCCACCCCTGAGAAACGGGGGGGGGGAGCGCCCGCCCCAGGCAGCCCTAATCACGAGCCACCGTGTTCAGGGCCTGCTTCTGTGACCCACTCAGGGTCGGTACCTCCGGCTAGAATGGACCAGCTGACCTCCAGCGGCCCTGTTCTGAGTAGTGTCCCGCAGTTGTGGTTCCCAAAGAGTGCACGAACGCTTGGGACGTACCGGGTATCAACGTGTTGGGTGTGGTTTACCATGGCCATCTTGTTGGCAAGAGTTTCAACATTGATGTCACCAGCAGCGTGGACGGAAGCTACCGTGGAACTCTCCGCAGCGAAAAGCGGTACGACTTCAACCACCAGAGCCTTGAGCCGAGCTTGCTGAAAACGATTTCTAGAGGGGACGAACTAACGTTCACTTGTAAGTCTGATACTTCCTCGAGGACGGAGCCTACTGAGTTCGGGGACCTCACGCAGAACGAAATGTGCTGGTCTGCATTCACTTATTATCCTGCCCAGGCGATGACACCGGCAATGACTCAGGGAGCTTCTCACATCAAGTGTGCGAATCTGGGGTCGCTTTCTTATACTGCGCCCGTGGTGGCTCCCTCTGCGTGCACGCCATCGGGCGATCTGGGTTCAAGCGATGCCAGCAACATTCTAAGCAGCATGACGGCCGACCTTCCAATGTCGTGGGTTCCACAGACAGACGGAGTGTCGCCAGCGTCGCCAGCTCCGACGTGCTTGTGCTTACGTCCGGTGATCACCGCGCTTGTTCTGCACCGTCTTCTTATGAGGGCGCAGTGTAGTTTGCTTGCTTGCTGGCTCCGTCCCCGTTTCCCCCCTCCGCAACGTCGTACCCGTTAGTTTGCCACACGGTTCAGCGCAGCATTTGAGCCTGGCGGTCATGAATGGTTGCCAGTTGCCTCCCTTCCTTCAGTGTGGCCACAGCAGTTTGGCAAGGGTGGGCAGCGAAGCCGCATTCGATTTCTTCCCCCAGCGGCTTCTTCGGGTAGCTCGATGCTCGATGCTCCGCCCCGCGCGCCGGGGACATCGAATTCTGGCACCGCTGCATCACCCGGTGGCCACACCAACCTCACTACGGGCAAACTGATCGTGTGACCGCCTCATGTTGGGGTTCTCAAAAGGCAGAGCAGCCGTTTTTGGTGACTCCACGGGCGATTTACATGGCTCGTTTTATGTCTTGCGCCGGAGGCGCACACGCTGCGTTTTTCCCGGAAGCGGCGTGGGCCAAAAGTTCTCTTTTAGGATGGTAATCTGTGCCCGGTGCCAATTCCGAAGAGAGCCAGCGGATTTCCGTTCGATGCAAAATGAGGTCAAGTCCAATTCGGCGTGGAAAATAAAAAGACGGCCCCAGGGCACTCTAAGACGGCCCAGGAGGGCCCCAAGAGGGGCCCAAGAGGTGCAATACGAACTGACCTCCCCTGACCTCCCGAGTTTTTCCCGCCGTGATGACCCCAAGAGCCCCCCAGTGATCCCCGAGGCGCTCCCAAGAGGCTCCAAGAGGCTTTCACGAGGCCCCCAAGAGGTGTCCCCAAGGGGCCCCCGAGAGGCCCCCAAGAGAGTCCTCCAAGAGGCGCCCGAGATGCACGCCAAGAGGCCCTCACCTGCACCCCCGAGGCGCCTGACCCACAGGCCAGGCACCGTGCTACGACTCCTGACTACTTTACTTTCACGGGGATCGGCGGAGTGGTGTCAGCCTCTTGAGTGAATACTTTCATCCTGTCTCACCCTCAGACGTGACCGTAGGTTTCGCCTGAGACTTGGCATCGCTCGGACGTGTGCATTTTTCCTTCGGCGAGGGCCATCGAGGAGCATCCTTGATCATTTGGCGAAAAAACCACGCACGAAACCGAACAAAAACACTGAGAACGGACGTCCGAGCGATGGCCAGGAGACCCACTGACCGTTCATGATCCTGAAGCTTGAACTTTGCAACAGCTTCCAGGATGGAGGGCGGGCCGTTTGCAAGACGGAGCTCGCGCCGTTGCGCCGCGCGTTTTCAGTCGAACAGCTTGAGCCAGTTTCCAGGACGGAGGGAGGGTGGCTTTTCTTTAATGGAGCTCTCGCCTCGGCGTCGCGCGCACCGGCTTCATACGTTTGTAGCAGTTTCAAGGATGGAGTTCAAAATGTGGCTCCCGCCATAGCGCAGTGCACACCGTCTTCAGTGCTTACAGCATGTAAAACAGTTTCGCAGGGTTGAAACCCCAGGATTGTGATCTGGCGCGATGAAGAAAGGCCGTGACGCAACAGTTACGCTGATTCGCTGTGTTGAAGTCTCAGGACTCGTGCTCTGGCGCAGTTCATGCTTGTCAAGACGCAGCAGTCACGTCGATTCGCGGCGGTGGATTCCCAGAATTGGTGTTTTGGCAGAGTGTCGGACTCTTACACAGTTCCGGGCTCGGATGGGGTGTCCGATTCCTATCACATTTCTGCCGTGAAAGTGGTTTTGTTTTTGTTTCATTTGGCCCAGGCGGGGCATCTCCGCTTCTTGGAGTTCCGGGGAGTGAAATCATGTTTTTTTGAGTTTTGTTTGGACGGTTGTCTTTCAATGGGCCATTTCCTGACATGAGCATACATTTATTGTAGGGACCTGTGAAGAAGGAACTTGGAGGCAGCGTTGATACGTATTTGGTTTACGAACACTGGTTCTCTTCCTCCTCCTTCTCCTCCTGCTCCCCCTCCTCCTTCCTCCTCCTCCTTTCTCTCCCTGCGCATGCGTCTGAATATCTGGATTTTCACTGCGTGTGGCAATTTCGGCCAGTCTGAGTTGAGGAAGCCTCTCGCTCAGCAGTGCGACCCGTCCCTTACAACCAGGACGAGGCGAGAGCACGTGTCTCGGGCCAAGGAGTTTGGTGCCGAGGGGGGAGCACTGACCCGATCCCGAGTAGCCAGTCCTGGCATTGCTTCGCAATCGTTCCGAATCCGAATGCGATATTTCCTCGCAATCGTTCCGTCGCTGTCGTCGTCGTCGTCGCCGTCCTCGTCGTCCTCGTCGTCGTCGTCGTCGTCGTCGTCGTCGTCGTCGTCGTTCTTGTTGTCGTCGTGGAGGAGTAGGAGGAGGAGGAAAATAAGGAGCAGGAGGAGCAGGAGGAGGAGGAGGAGGAGGAGGAGGAGGAGGAGGAGGAGGAGGAGGAGGAGGAGGAGGAGGAGGGAAGAGGAGGAGGAGGAAGAGGAGAGGAGGAGGAGGAGGAGGAGAAGAGGAGGAAGAACAGGAGGGGGAGGACGAGGAGGAGGAGGAGCATGAGGAGGAGGAGAATGAGGAGGAGGAGGAGGAGGAGGAGGAGGAGGAGGAGGAGGAGGAGGAGGAGAGGAGGAGGAGGAGGAGGAGGAGGAGGGGGGAGGAGGAGGAGGGAGGAGGGAGGAAGGGAGGAGGGGAGGAGGGAGGAGGGGAGGAGGGAGGAGGGAGGAGGGGAGGAGGGAGGAGGGAGGAGGAGGGAGGAGGGAGGAGGGAGGAGGGAGGATGGGAGGAGGGAGGAGGGAGGAGGGAGGAGGGAGGAGGGAGGAGGAGGAGGGAGGAGGGAGGAGGGAGGAGGAGGAGGAGGGGAGGAGGGAGGAGGGAGGAGGGAGGAGGGAGGAGGGAGAGGAGGGAGGAGGGAGGATGGGAGGAGGGAGGAGAGGAGGAGGGAGGAGGGAGGATGGGAGGAGGGAGGAGGGAGGAGGGAGGAGGGAGGAGGGAGGGAGGAGGAGGGAGGAGGGAGGAGGGAGGAGGGAGGAGGGAGGAGGGGGAGGGAGGAGGGAGGAGGGGGAGGAGGAGGAGGGAGGAGGGGAGGAGGGAGGGGGAGGAGGGAGGAGGAGGAGGAGGAGGAGGAGGAGGAGGAGAGGAGGAGGAGGAGGAGGAGGAGGAGGAGGAGGAGGAGGAGGAGGAGGAGGAGGAGGAGGAGGAGGAGAGGAGGAGGAGGAGGAGGAGGAGGAGGAGGAGAGGAGGAGGAGGAGAAAAGGAACAAGGGGAGGGGAGGACGAGGAGGAGGAGGAGAATGATGATGATGGATGACTGATGATGATGATGATGAGGAGGAGGAGGAGGAGGAGGAGGAGGAGGAGGAGGAGGAGGAGGTGGGGGAGAACCGAGTTGGAGGAGGAGGGGGAGGACAGAGGAGGAGGAGGGGGAGGAGGAGGAGGAGGAGGAGGAGGAGGAGGAGGAGGAGGAGGAGGAAGAGGAATAATACTAATATGCATAGTAATTATCATTAGTAATAATGCGGTGAAGAAGAATATGAGGAATAATAGTAAGAAGAGGAGGAGGTGGAGGAGGGGTTGATCTTCGTCTTGCTTCGCAGTCGTTCCGAAGCGTGCGCATACGGGGGCGACTCCCTCTGCCAGGCGCGCCTGCGGCTGCTCGACGGCGCCCTCTCCGACGGTCGGCGGGGGGCTGGGCGGCCGCCGCGCGCCCGCCGCCGCCTTGTAGCGGGGCCACCCCTCGAGGTCTCGAGGTCGATCGGACAGGGCTAGGACGAGGAAAAATCCGGTCCAGAGCATTCCACAGCTTGTCCCTCCCTTCCTTCCTCCAATCCTCCCGCCCTTCTCCTTCTCCTTCTCCCTCCCTCCTCTTCCTCCTCTTCCTCCTCCTCCTCCTCTCCTTCTCCTCCCTCCTCTTCCATCCTCCTCCTCCTCCTCTTCCCCCCCTCCTCCTCCTCCTCCTCCTCCCTCCTCCTCCTCCTCCTCCTCCTGGTCCTCCTCCTCCTCCTCCTCCTCCTCCTTCTCCTCCTCCTCCTCCTCCTCCTCCTCCTCCTCCTCCTCCTCCCTCCTCCTCCTGGCAGAGCGAGCACGGTCTGTACGCGCCACACCGCTCTGAGCTTGTAGTCGACCGCGAGCAGCCCGGCCGCCGCCCAGCGCCCCTCGGCCAGCTCCCAGCCCAGCTTCGGCGCAGTTGCGCCGCTCCGGCCGCTCGCAGCTCGGCCGTCCTGCCGACGCCGTCGGTGCCGAGGGCGGTGCGGAGCTGCCGGGCGGTGGCCCTGTGGAGGGCCACGCTGAGCTCCCGGCCCCAGCGGCTCGCCAGAGCGCTCGCGGCGGCCGGCGCTGCTTCCTCGCCCAGGAGCGCCGCCTCCCCGCGGGCGAGCTCCCGGAGGTGTCGGAGGGCGGCGCGCCCGTGCCGGCCGCCCGTCTCCAGGGCGAGGGGCAGCATGCCCCACGGCGCGCGGCCTGGCGGGTAGCGCCAGTGTTTGCCGCCTTCGGCCTCGGCGTTCCCCGCGCCGTCGCGCCCTGCCGCGGCGGCAAGGGCGCGCCCTTCACCCGGCACGCAGCAGCGCACGGTGACGTCGAGGAACAGCTGGGGCATGTCCCCCCGCTGAACCTCGAGGTCGAGGATTGCCTCCTCCCGCTCCGCCTGCAGCGCGGCTCCGCAGTTGCCGCAGGGCGCCGCCGGCCGGTCCGACGCGTGGCCGCCGGTGTCGCAGGTCCAGCAGCGCCAGCGCCAGCGGTCCCAAGCTGGGACGTGCGTCTGGTGCTCCACCTGGAGGAGGAGAAGGAGGAGGAGGGGGGAGGAGGAGGGGGGAGGAGGAGGAGGAGGGGGGAGGAGGAGGAGGAGGAGGGGGAGGAGGAGGAGGAGGAGGAGGAGGAGGATGAGGAGGAGGAGGAGGAGGAGGAGGAGGAGGAGGAGGAGGAGGACACCATCCAGGAGGCCTCTATCTCTGCCACGGCAGATTCGCGGCGCCTCGGCGCGGCCGCGGCGCGGGCCCTGGCGTTCCAAGAGGAACGCCATCCAGGGGCCCTCTCGGTGCCCCTGGCTCGTGAGGCCACGGGTCGCACGCCTCCTGGGTTGCGTCGGGCACGTGTCCCTCTGCAGGAGGCATACTTCGGCGACTGCGCAGGGTATGGCTGCGCCGGGGTGTGGTTTGCAATCGGCACCGTTGGGGTCTGGGGGGCACGACACTGTCCTCGTCGGGCCTCCTCGGGGCGTGGGGGAACTGTGGGGGTCCCCGCGCGCCCCCCACAACCCTCGTCAAAACTAACCTCGTTGCTGGCACGTCATTTCGAGTTCGGCGCGCCCCTCAATGTCGACACGCCGCCCCTTCATTGTCGGGGCGAGGGCAAAGATAGTCTGACCGAAGTTGACTCGAAAGTTTGACGTCGACCGACATTGGAGGGGCGGCGTATGCAAGTACCCCGCACTCATCGATACTCGGCTTCAGATCTTCCGACAAGCAGTTCAACCACGTCAGACATTTTTGAGGTCAATTTTGACGAGGGTTGTAGGGTGCCTGCCTCCCAGGATGTTCCCCTGGGTGCTGGTTGCAAACCACACCCTTTGCAAACCACACCCTTTGGAGTCGCCGAGTATTCAAGAGTAGCAAGGACATAGTCACGGGTGGCATTTGTTCGTTCCCTTGTCTGGCATATTTTTGAGTTGTCTTTGACTAGGTTTCACTTTTCTTCCAAGAGCCGCCTGCAGGAGGACATGCCCGGCCTAAGGCCAAGACTTCCAGGACGTGGACAAATCCGTTCCGGAGCGCTCTGGAACGCTCCCAGAGCGTTCCGGAACGCTCCGAGAAGGCCGCGGCGCACGAGACACCCCAGAGCCTCCGGAGCTCCGAGCTTCCCGATTTATCCTCACCAGATCGGAGGGAGGAGAAACGATATCAACACCAGGGGGCCCACCGCCAGCGAGGAGGTCCACGATGCCTCTCCGAGCTAGAGGCTGGGGGCGTCTCGAGTGAGAGGGGGGGACCACACCACCAGGGAGCTCCCCCTTGCCTCCTCGCATCTCCTCGTCCTGTTGGTGCTGGTGTCGCCTTCCCTTCTTCCTAACCAGAGTTTGCCCTCGTCCTGGCTTCGTCTTCACCGACACGATTCGACCTCGATGCAACGGCCTATCGCCGATCCGTCGGCACGGTGTCGCCGATTCCAGGTGGACCCTCTACCCCCCTGAGTCGGCCGCGCCCTGGCGTCCCCCGCCTCGGGAAGGAGGAGGAGGAGGAGGAGGAGGAGGAGGAGGAGGAGGAGGAGGAGGACGAGGAGGACGAGGAGGAGGAGGAGGAGCGGCACTGTGTCGCCTGTAGGGGGACATGCCCGACCTAAAGTAAGTATTGTAAATGATGCAGAGGTTTTGATTTGCGGCTGTTGTTTGCCATCCAGGCGGTCTGCCTAGATCTCGGCCCATGGGACCGGTTAGTCGGCCCCCGGGCGATATTCTGGTTCGATTTCGATCCGATTCGATATATCGAACCTGGCCGGCTCGATCGGGTTCGATACCAAGATTCCTCAGATGAGAATCCGATGCTGCGACCCTTCCATCGTTCTCGCCATTTTGGGCCTCCCGGGATGCCCTCGTCGCCACGGCTGGATTTGCCTCGAAAGTCTGTTCAGAACGCACCCTGGGACAGGTCCGTTGGGCAGCTGTATCGGTATCGGCACCTTGTGGTTTACGTACGCAATTCCGAAGATGCGATACGTGCCTGATGTGTGCATGGCGTTGTTTTGCATCTTGGCGCGGCTGATCCGATACGATGTCGAGTCCACGCCGATGCGGTTCGATTCCGGCTCGACTCTGACTGGTCTTGCCTCTCCCCCCAGGACCATGTCGGACCCCCTGGCAGGCAGGCGATCTCTCGCCCCCAATCCGTGAGTTCCCTCCCCACAATCAAAATGGTTGTCCACAAAAGAGGGGGCTCGGGGGTGCAGCTCTGGTCAGCTGCTGGGTCGCACATCCATCGAGTATGGGTGCCCGCCAATCGTATATCCCAGAATCTGGCTCCAACTCTGATTGTCCTGCCGAAGCCCCAGCGTCGGTCGGGGAAGGGGGTCGCACTGTCGCCACACTCCGTGGGTTGACAAGGGTGTCCGCAGTTCCGTCCCTCCGATTGCTTCGCGCAGTCGTTTGCGCTCGGTCGGTTCGGTTGGGTCGGTTGCCGTGCCGTTGCTGCGTCGCTGCGCCCTTCCAGGCTGCTTGCTGCCTCTCTTTTCCGGTCTCGTTGGCGGTTCGGTCAGCTCTCGGTCCTGCCGACGCCGTGGACGGCTCTTGCCAACCCTCGCGAAGGTCAAGCAGCCACCGCGGATCTCCTCCTGGCCGGCCTGGGCCTGAAAAAGCGCCGCGCGGAGCGAGTCCTCCACCCCTTCCTCTTATGTTGGCGCGGGCATTAGGGGTTGCGTGCTGCACTGGTGCCGGAAAACATCACATCGCCGACTTAGGGGTGGTAACAAACGAGTGCCCCTTCCCCTCCCCTCCCCTCCCCTCTCCTCCACTCACCTCTGCCCACCCTCGGGTTTGTGAGTTTTTCTTAGCTGGCCCAGGTTGGCGGCACGGCCCTGGCCAGACCCGGTTGGCGCTGACCCTGGCTAGTCGTGGGTTGCCGACGGTTCCACGGTCTTGTTTGTTTCGAGTCTCTCATACAGTCAAAGCGCATCGTAAGGATATGAACAATTTCCCAAGGTTACTCTTGCATCCTTGCCCCTTCGGTCCATCCTTGGCGACTTTCGCTGGCCTCGCCTGGCTCGAGAGTCGTCTACACGGCCTCCCAAGGCCCTTGCATCCTTACCGCGCATTCCAATTATCATGGCGCCTGGCCCCTATCAGTCGAAAAGGCAGATCACCGAAACAAGTCGATGGCCGAACATGTGCCCGAAATTGTGACCGAAAACGTAGCGTGACCGAAATTGTCACCGAAAGTCAACATCGTCGCGGTTTCGAAGTACACATCTCGGTCAAACCCGGGCGCGGTCGGAACATTTCGGGCGCCGATTTTTGGCCACATTTGAGAGATTTTCGGGCACAGTTTCGGTCGCGACGCCTCTCTGATAGAGACGTCCTGAAGTTCTTCCACGGCACCCCCACGCCCGCATTAATGGTCTGAGAGGGCTCCTCCCTCTCCTTCCTCGCGATCTGTCCGTTTCGCTTTCGTGCCTCAATTCGCTCCCGGTGTATCCCACCGCTTGCCGACCTGCGTCTGGCTGTTTTTGACAACTTGGCGCCCGCGGACTGGATAAGTAAGGCCACTGGGGGCCTGCTCCTCCTCCCCGTCCCCCTCCTCCTCTTCCTCCTCTTCCTCCTCCTCCTCCTCATCCTCATCATCATCATACTCATCATCATCATCATCATCATCATCATCATCATCATCATCATCATCATCATCATCATCATCATCATCATCATCATCATACTCATCATCATCATCATCATCATCATCATCATGATCCGTATCATCACCATCATCAGCAGCATCATCAGCATTACTATCATCATCATTTTCACCCTCATCATCATACTCATCATCAACATAGTCATCATCACCATTATTATCATCATCAGCATCGTCGTCGTCGTCGTCATCATCATCATCGTCAACATCTACGTCGTCATCATCAGCATCCTCCCCCTCCTCCTCCTCTTCCCTCTCCCCCTCCGCCTGCTCGTGCTCCTCCTCC